TGATTTTTCAACCCTGGAAGCACTCAAACAGGCGGACTGTCACCTTGCCAGGCTCCATTCTTTTGGGTTTCACCCCAGACTACCCAGGTTTTCAACTCAATGTACCTGAACATCGATAACATCACTTTTAAAATGAAAGAAACAAAGAGACTGATTTAAATGAAGGCCACTTACTTTTATGTACACTTGAAATCGACTGTATATCCACAATTGTGATCTCTAAACTGCTTTTTTCTTTTAAAATATGTACATTTCTTTTTAATATCCATGGTTACACCCGTGGTAACACAGTGGCACAGTGGTTAGTATTGCTGTCTTACCGCCCCATGTTCACATGGGTTTCCTCCAGGTTCCCAGGTTTCCTCCCACAGTCTAAAGACATACAGGTAGGTTAACTAGCTACTGGGAATATATTGGGAATAAAATACAGGGTGTGTCTCACCTCACGCCTATTGCTTGCCAAAAAAGCAGTTAGAAAAGGGATGAAGGGATGGATTGTAATACCATGAGAAGCAGACGGGCACTGTAGTTCTCAAGCAAAAAGCAACCCAGCAGCATTTACTCTGCCTTTAGCTCAAGAGCATGAACCTAGTACAGCCATTTTGCATTCAACCAGAAAGCATCTGCTATAAAACCAAGATTTCCTGGCAGCAGTTAGACCCATGAGCAAAAGATGGCATGCCGAATGAATAGTAGGATAATATACTCCTAGAAAAAAAACAGTAACTTGGCAATCAAATCCGTCACATCTTAATGGACAGTCACATACAACCAAAAAATGTCTGCATAAGCAGGTGTCAAGTACAGCCTGAGTACATCAGTGACCGAGGGGGCTAGGAGTATTTTTAATGCTGGATCTGCAGGTAAGGTGTTCCATGGGCAAGTATAAAATGGATGTGCTGTATTGTTAGAGGAAAAGTATTGTTCCAGACTGCGTCCCAATCCGAATCTAGGTTGTGTAGTTCTCAGTTTCAGAGATATACCGTAATGGCAAAATGTTGACTATGAAAGGGAAATGACTGATGCAAAAGTATTTAAGTAACTTAAATATAAATTAATATTTAATGCAGGTGTTTACCAAGGACACATTCTATATCAAGATTGCTTTAGAGGAGGTAGAAGAAGAACAGGAACTAGAAGTATTACTTTCTAGGGCCTGATGGTATCCTACCGGTAGTTCCCATCATTAAAAAACAATATTATTAATAATACTAATACTACTAATATTACCAATAGTACTTGAGGAAACAAGAAATGCTATTCACAGACCATTTAAAAAAACACGTTCAGCAGTAATTGCAGAGTACAGGTGTGATATTTATTGACTGGAGAATTGCTAATGTAGTAAACATCTTTAAAAAGGATGACAGAATCAAACTAAGTAATTAGAATCCAATACATCTTATTTGTATTACATGTAAATTTATGTAAATGATATTTGGAACTAAACTGGAAGATCACCAGTATGACAATGGACTTCTACAGAATAGTCAGCATACAGTAGATAAAAGACAGATCATGTTTAATTACTGTATGTAATCAGATTATTTAAACAAATAACAGCAATAATGCACACAAAAAACATAACTAATAACTAAAAATCTCTGTATAACAAATCATATACACTATGTGTAGGTTTTCAGAGGGCTTTCGATGAGGATTCTTATGGGAAGATAGTAATTCCCATAAAGACCACTCTAAAATTGCTGCAGTCAGTAGACATTCAAGGTTGTCCATTATTTGTATTGAGAACTGGTCAATGGATATAAAACAGTACAGATTAAGGCTAAAACAATACTCTTATATGTGTGAAGTGATAAGTGGAGTACTACAATGATCTATTATAGGACCACTGTCCTTCCTACTTTATGTATGTATCATTAATCTACATTTTGCTATAGATAAAGAAGTCAAGTTTGCAAATGACACATACTACATTGCAAATGCTATGAGATAAAACGATATCGCAATTCCACAGTACCCTATAAGTTCAAAATAGTAGGTGGAGACAGTGAAGTCAAAATAGTCACTAAAATGTGAGGATGGGACACAAAATGTGGTATTATTCCAAAATGTTAAAGCATATAGACACAGAAATAAGCAGAAACAAAAGGTGACATTCTATATTTTTTCCTCGTATTTAACTTTTCATCTCAAGTACAAACTGCATGTGTACACAGAAAAAATGGCAGCTTTTACTTCACTATCCCAATACTTTTTCTAGGCATTCTGGTGGGACATAAAAATGGATTATGGGAAACAGAAAATCAATATAGGACGTATAATTATTTTTATTATACAAATCTTACCAGCAGAGTGTAAAGAAGAACATAGAATCAAAATTTCTTTAATGATTTTGTCACAACCAAGAATTTTCTGTTTGAGCATGCTACCAATTAGGGAATATATTTATACCCAAATAAATAAATGCAGGAGAATACAAACTGCGTGTGAAAGAAATGCTGTCACATTACTAAGATTCAAAGGCAAGAGGAACAATACAGTATAGTTTAAATTCAGAAAATATACCAAAGTTATAAAACAAGATTACAGCACGAGGAACTGAACTGGAAATATCAGAGAGAAACAGGAGAATTCCATCAGCAAAGTTAAATATCATGTTTATATAATGAGTAGTCTTCTGTATCTCCATGAGAATAATGCTTATATTTTGTTTAATTGCTTATGTCAGCAGTTATAATGAAAGAAGAAATAATGGTGTTGACGGACAGAACTGTTAAGTCTGTCGAGTAAGAGATAAAGAGATATCATTGACTGATATCACTGAGGAGATATCATTTAATTCATTGATCTGCTCTGTACACACACAGAGTAAGGGATCAAACTGATAGAAGACGTCTCTTAAAAAATGTTCCAGTACAACCCAAAGACAGTTATGTTGTAAGATACAAAACACTTCATTTGTATCTAAAGAAAACACTGAACAAGCAGCTACTTGATAAATGGACTAATCCAAAATATGGAAGAGGCAGTGTAAAGTTTCAGAAGCAAATTGTCCCTTCAAGAAGCCTGTCTGCTTATGATATATTTGCTGATACAAATGTGTCTCCATTATCTTACAAAGAGCCTTTTGCAAATACATTTATGTCTGAATTTGATAGCAATAGTGGACAATAACTAGATCACTCTAAAGGCTCTTTTGTGTTTTATTTTTTATCTCTAATCTTGAGTTTCTGAGGAAAATGTACAGCATTTAGTACTTAACTGACATCATCACACGCTACTTTAATAAATGATGTGGAATAGGTGGGGAATTTCTATTTGCCTATAATCTGAAATCCTGATAACGTGCCCAAAACATTCAGCCAAGAACGTCACATTGTGCCGTGTCATCAAAGCACGTCATGTGTCAACCTGGCCTTGACAACTATCTTCGGCTCTTCTGGGTAAAGCAAGAAGGTCCACAGACCAAGCTGAAAAAACAAATCTGAACCTTAGCAAAATATTTTCCAGGCTGTACTATGTAACTGCAATAAGCACAGAAGAATAAGTGAACCGCCATAATGGTGCATAGTGCCTATGATTTTGGTGTTGGATCAGTAAAGCAAGATTTTTAAAGACTGTCCCTCCTTGCTCCATATTCATCAAAACTCACATGTACATTCAGGACCTTAAAGGG